GCAGAATGGTGGAATCAGCATGGTAAAAGTACTGTAAAATCAAATATGGTTGCAGTAATATTCCAGATATGAGTACCGATAAAGAAACTTCTATATCTGATTCAAGGAAAGAAAAACTAAGAGAATGGTGGAATTAACATGGTGACAGAATGGTGGAATCAAATAATGGTAACAGAATGGTAGAATCAACATGGTAACAGAATGGTGAAATCAACATGGTAATAGTTTGGTGGAATCAACATGGTAATAGTTTGGTGGAATCAACATGGTAACAGTATTGTGGAATCAACATGGTAACAGAATGATGGAATCAAAATGGTAACAGAATGGTAGAAGCCACATGCTACCAAAAAGGCCGAATCTGCATGATAATAGTATGGTGAAAACAACATGGTAACAGAAATGTAGAATCAGCATGGTGGCAGAATGGTGGAATAAGCATGGTAATATTCCAGGTAAGAGTACTGAAAAAATGATTCAAGAAAAGAAAAACTGAGAGAATGGTCGAATCAACATGGTAACAGAATGGTGAAATCAAAAATGGTAACAATTTTGTAGAATCAACATGGTAACAGAATGGTGGAATCAACATTGTAACAGAATGGTGGAATCAACATGGTAACAGAATGGTGAATCGGAATGGTAACAGTAGAGCCTATGCTAGAATCAACATGGTAACAGAATGGAGGTATCAACACATTACCAGAATTGTTTTGGATGAATTATTAAAGACTGCACCAATTCTGCAATGGCTAACTATGCTATTTTTATCAATTAATTACATTTTAAAATGCTGTTTTGTTAACATTTTCATATAAAAAGATCATTTTTGTACTATTTCTATTATCTATGATCATATATCAATTATCATTTTAGGTTTTCTTTACTTTTGCTGTTAGTGTTATCTTCCAATTCAATTGTAATTTCCAATTCCATATTAAACGTGATTTCAGATTATATTCAGGAATATAACATTATAAAATAGATAGTGGTTATGAATGGGTTGTAGAATACATTTTTGAATTTTTACATTTGATGGCAAAAATAAAGTTGCTCAGCCAAAAATGATTGTATGGGTGAATTAGAAAGAATTTCCATGACTTCCAAGATACCGTAACCTAATACCTATAGACTTGGAATTGTATCAATGAAGTGATTTCGAAATGTGGTTTTGAAAGAAAATCAAGGGGTAACCTATATATTTACTGGTATGACTCGTTTTCTTCTCATTTCTTTTTCATTATTTTAAATCCTTACTACAAATTATCAATACTTACAATGTCTGGATATTCCTTCCTCAGGATTAGAAGTTCTTTAACTTGTCTCAATTCTTTCAATTTAGTACTCAAGCCAAGGTTGTAGATGTTCATCACTGGATCATTTTCATAGAGTGTAACAATATATGGATATATAAAAGTTCCTGAGAATACAAAAGGATTTCTGACAAGACATTCTCTGGAAATCTCTTCATAATGTTAAAGCAAAGGGAACAAAGATGAAGAGTGAATCCTCAGTGGTTTGACTATCTTTTTTCCTTTCAAAGTACTTTATATTTAACCTTTTTTTTTATGATAAAAACATCCTTTCATATAAAATCTTAATTCCCATCGAACTAGAAAAGACTGAAAGAAATCTTATTAATTAATTAATTAATAACTAATTCAAGTTTCTTCTGTATAGTGTACTGATATAAAAGGAATCAGACCTATGATAGACAGTTTCTTCTGATTGAAGAAGCCAGCAAACATATCTACCATTCTTGTTATTGAATTAGACACCTAAATATGGCAATATTTCTACTTTCTACAAGGTCAAGTCGGTACTTATACTCAAATGATATTGTGTTAATTCAACATATCAAGTTATTGGTTTTGACAGTTAATCTACGTCCTGAAAAATAATGAGAGTTAAAATCGTAAAATGTACATGGTTGAAATCTTCACCATGTATATTGGTGGTCAACAAAGACTTAACATATAGTTACTGTTTGACTTTTGAAAAAAAAAAAAAATTTAAACTTAATTCTTTATTCAATACTAAAAATAAAAACAAACTACCTTTCTTAATAATGGTCTTTGTGAATAATTTTTCATTTTTTCCCTCTAGAATCAAGTCTCTGGTCTCTTTATAAAAAATTCATCAAAAATAAAAGAATGGTGGCTTTTTATAAATATATCTACATGATGGTGAATTAATCTGACAGTTTCAACTTCTTGAAATTTACCATGCTCATAAAAATATGTAGAGAAATACTGTGAAATGAGGGAAGAGGAAAGGTGAAATGCTTTCTAATGAGACGTGTTTCTCCGGTTAGTTTGAATAGGAGTTGAAGAAACTAGCTGAATAGTGTTTGGCTTGTATTTTTTCCTAGTGAGTCAGTTCTTCAAAATACATGTTTGAGTGTACATAAATATCAATGCACACTGGCAATTTGTGGTGGAGAATTGACTTGGGAGCACAAGCAGTTTCTTTGTCCTGGCCGTTAGTCATCCATTATACAAAATCCTATTCCATATATATATAATAAAGTAGACTACAGTTGAATACTCTTATTTTCATATTATATAAACTGGACTAGATATTTTTTAAATATTTTAGATTTAAGAAGGGGGTGTTGAATCTTTGATTTCAGAAAGAAGTGTTGAAATTAATATGCTGCATATAACCTCAAGATGGTGTTTGAAATTAATCCACCCCTAAAACACCCTATTGAACAATGCTATATATGACTCCAATGTAGAGTGAAAACCATCCAGATCCCTTAAAGCCTGTAGTAGAAGTGAGAAGGAATAGAAAACACTCCAAAAACACATGATTCCAATTCTGGTGTTGGCATGAAAAAAAGCTGTACTCAGTCAGTAAGTTTAATCTAATAACAATGGGTATTACAGACCAACAACAATAGAGCTTGCTACAAGAAATTTATAAAAATAGACTCGATCGGCTTATCAATGAGCAGATAGTTGGGATTAACAACAGCTCCAAGCTTATTGGGTCAAGATAATGGTTTCTATATCCTTATAAAATCTGAATTAAGATTTAGGATTAGTATCTAGATAATTAAAACTCAGATTAAAAGGGTACTCCAAGCTTATTATTGAGTCCACAATATCAAAGAAATTCTTACTGTAAAAACAACACGCCTTGGATAGTATATATGAAGGGATATTTCTTAATCTTATGCATTACTTAGCTGTACAGTAGTACACATTACACGAAAACTTTGAGGGGGAAGTAGAAGAAGGATCCGGAAGGGAGGGCAGATCTAGTCTTCTTATTTCAGAATTAACGTCAGGTTATGGTATAGGCTTATTAGACAGTTTCTAGGAATGGAAGGTACATCCTTACTATGGCCTGAAGGTGACGAGCAAAGGTTATTATACAAAGTTAGCATATTATATAAGTCAGTAATGCTGTTGGTGACAATGATCAGAACATGACAGTGCTACTCAGGTAAAATGCATGCTTTCAAATAATGATAGCTGTTCAAGATATCAATTTATGGAACTCAAATCCAACACTCTATTCTCAAACCGTTCTTTTTTCATCTGATATTTTGCACTAAAGTATTTTTTCCCGTAGTGCTTATCAAGTTGTGATATAAAGAAGTCTCTCAAATTTAAAATCTCTTTAAAAATGAAATATATTTTCTACTTATCCAATTATGTATCATATTTCTTTGTGTAAGGGAGCTGGGGGAAATGGTAAACATTAATAGTTTATAATATGTTCTTTAGAGAACTATCTCCCTACAATAACAGAATGACCTGGTAGCTGTACATTGACCTGAATCAGCAACCATCAAGTAGAAAGAAGTAGTGGAAAGTTATCAGCCAGGTCGCTAATCATTCTACAAAGTAAAACATTTTACTAAACAAGTAAGAAAATATATATATGAAATACTTTTATTTCTTTAAAAGGAAAAATAAATACAATAAATATAACCTCAATCTTTCAATAAAATTATTGGGTGTTGTAAAATATAATAAGGGAGAGGAGGGATTTGATTTTAATATTTCAGAACTCATTAAATACCATCATTCAAAAAAAAAACCCCAAATTTTTCCAATTAAAGAAAATTATCAACATAAAAACTAAATATCAATACTAAGTCCACAGTATTATCTCCACTATCATATTAAGTGATCATTTTGATTAGTCACATGGAAGTATTCACATTCAACAAAATACTGTGATCTATGTAACAAAATGACATGGCACCCGAATCCTAGCCATAAAATGCTTGGGTAAAATCGGAATAGTACAGTCAACACAGTCAGACTGAAACAATTACCAATTAAAACCAAGGGTTGAAATCGTCATTCAATTACAACCAAAGGGTGAAATTATCATTGTACCAGAAAGTGAAATCAATATGGTTACAGATTAGTAGGCCTACCAGATTCCAGAATTAACGATATGGTAGAAAATGACCAATCCATTGGGGTAACAGTGGTAGAATCGATATGGCAACAGGGTGATGAAATCAACCACATGGTAACAGTATGGTGAAATCAACATGGTGGAAGAATATTGGAATCAACAGAATGGTGATTCAATATGGTTACAGAATGGTGAAATCCACAATATCCTAATATAATATTGAAATCAACAACATCCTAACAGAATGGTGATATAGACATGGTAACAGAATGGTGATATGGACATGGTAACAGAATGGTGAAATCAACATGGTTACAGAATGGTGCAATCTTAATAGTAACAAAGTGGTGGAATCAACATGGTGACAGTATGGGGGAATCAACATGGTGAACATGGTTACAGAATGGTGAAATCAACATGGTTACAGAATGATGAAACCAACATGGTGACAGAATGGTGAAACCAACCATGGTAAAATAAGACAAAATTTTAAAATGGTTACAGTAATATTCCAGGTAAGATTACTAATAAAAAAAATGCTGTATCTGATTCAAGGAAAGAAAAAATGCAAAAGAATCCAAAATAATATGATGCTACCTCAGATGCAGTCAATACAGTTACAGACTGGTGAAATCAACACACAGTATCAGAATGGTGAAATCAACACACAGTATCAGAATGGTGAAATCAACACACAGTAGCAGAATGGTGGAATCAACACACAGTATCAGAATGGTGAAATCAACACACAGTATCAGAATGGTGAAATCAACACACAGTAGCAGAATGGTGGAATCAACACACAGTAGCAGAATGGTGGAATCAACACACAGTAGCAGAATGGTGGAATCAACACACAGTACCAGAATGGTGGAATCAACACAGAGAACCAGAATGGTGAAATCAACACACAGTGCCAGAATGGTGGAATCAACACACAGTACCAAAATGGTAGAATCACCACACAGTACCAGAATGGTGAAATCAACACACAGTACCAGAATGGTGATATCAACACACAATACTAGAATGGTGGAATCAACACACAGTACTAGAATGGTGGAATCAACACACAGTACCAGAGTGGTGAAATCAACCTGGTAATAGTTTGGTGGAATCAACATGGTAACAGTATAGTGGAATCAACATGGTGACAGAATGGAGGAATTAACAATGGAGGAATTAACAATGGTAACAGAATGGTTGTATCAACACACAGTATCAGAATGGTTGTATCAACACAGAGAACCAGAATGGTGGAATCAACACACAGTACCAAAATGGTAGAATCAACACACAGTACCAGAATGGTCGAATCAACACACAGTACCAGAATGGTAGTATCAACACATAGTACCAAAATGGTGGAATCAAAACACAGTAACAGAATGGTCGGATCAACACACAGTAACGGAATGTTGGAATCAAAACAGACAACCAGAATGGCGGAATCAACACACAGTACCAGAATGGTGAAATCAACATGGTAACAGTATGGTGGAATCAACATGGTAACAATGTGGTGGAATCAACATGGTGACAGAATGGTGGATTCAACATGGTAACAGTATGGTGGAATCAACATGGTAACAATGTGGTGGAATCAACATGGTGACGGAATGGTGGATTCAACATGGTAACAGAATGGCGGAATCAACATGGTAACAGTATGGTGGAATCAACATGGTAACAATATGGTGGAATCAACATGATAACAGAATGGCGGAATCAACATGGTAACAGAATGGCGGAATCAACATGGTAACAGAATGGTGGAATAAACATGGTAACAGAATGATCGAATCAAGATAGTATCATTATGGGGGAATCAATATGGTAACAGTATGGTGGAATAATGATAATAGTTTGGTACTATCAACATTGTAAAGAATGGTGGAATCAACATGGTGACAGTATGTTGGAATCAACATGGTGACAGAATGGTGGAATCAACATGGTGACAGAATGGTGGAATCAACATGGTGACAGAATGGTGGAATGATCATGGTGACAGTATGGTGAAATCAGCATGGTCAATTTGGTCGAATCATCATTTCGTGGTGAAATCGACATGGTAACAGAACGGTGGAATCAACTTAGTGATATCCGTGCGCCTTTGCGTCCCATTACAGGTTTAAACGGGCAGTAGTCTTTGTGGGGCGTCAGAAGGTCCTCAGTATGGTGGAATCAAGATGATAACAGAATGATGGAATCAACAGAATGATTGAATCAAGACAGCGAAGGAATAAACAGAGCTTTAGTTTTTAGATTTTTAAAATAAATGAAATTTATGTTATTCACAATGTTGTGGTTTTAATTTTATAAATCATTCAGATTGATATTTAGATATCAACGATGCATTTCGCAGTTAACTACACTTGACATTTATGATTTGACAAAATTTGAATTCAGCGTCAGCAGTTGTCCCCCCATTGAGTCAGTCTGCCCAATATTTGTACCCCCAGTCTCGGAAAGCTGGCCACTGTTAATTGCGGCAGTGGCTATTTAACACTGGCGTGGTAAGCCTGGTAAATAGTCAGAAGTACCCGTACAGCTATTTACCACGGCGTGGTAACTTGTTAAATTAGGCCAATGTCACCATGTTATTGTTAGTCTATGGAGACAAAACGTGGTAACTAAATTTTACCAAGTTTTTTTTCTTTGGTGAATTTCATCCAATTTTTTTTCAAATTTTAAAAAATCACACTTTTTAGGTTTCAAAAATATAAATATTGTGAACATTTCACATTGTTAACACACTAAAATAAGCATTTTAATATCTCTAGCGAAGAAAAATATCCGCCATATTTAATATCGGTGACTATGGATTTCTGGCATTTTGGATGCTAAATTTCACAATCGCTATGTGATGTGAACCATAAGGAATGCGTGTTTATGATCATACTTCGGTATTGCGTGCATTTCCAGCTGTCTATTAGTCTGCAATTTGTTTATATATACATTTTAAAACTATGCTTTTGACAGACTTTTATTGAATTTTTAATTTCCAAGCTATAATATTGTATATTGTATTGACCTCTACTACATACTACAGTCAAACATTATCAATATCTGTACCGTTACTTCCCTCTACTACAAACTACAGTCAAACACTGTCAATATATGTATCATTACTAACCTCGACTACATACTTCATTCAAAAAGTATAAATATCTGTATCATAACTAAACTATACTACATACTACAATCGACCACTATAAATATCTGTATTATTACTGATCTCTACTACATACTAAAGTCAAACAGAAACAACATCTGTATTATTACTAACCTTTAATACATACTACAATCAAACAGTATCAATATCTGTACCATTACTGACCTAAACTACTTACTACAGTCAAACACTATCAATATATGTTCCATTACTACACTATGCTATAGTCAAACAGTATCAATTGTATCATTACTGACCACTACTACATACTACAGTCAGACACTATCAATATCTGTATCATTTCTGAACTCTCTGAACAAAATGTCACAAAAGTGCCCTAGGGATGTTCAGCAAATGGATATAGGCTTACTTGAACAGTATAGCTCAGGGTCATAAAAGTGGGCTATCATTACTTGCCTTGCAAGCCTTAAGGATGCATTTTACATATTTCATAAATGGTTTTTCAACATAGAGTCAGGTGTCATCTAAGCTTGGACTGTTAGTCTATTTGTATAGTGGAATAATGATGTATCATCATGCTATCTAAAAGGCCTATAGGAAACAGTGGCCGATTTAACGTAAATAATTAATGTTTTAACTACAATATTATTATATCCGTTTTTATTCCACCGAAGAACAAGTTTCCCTTTCCTATTTGCGAAGTAGGAAGCGAATGCGGCTGATACGATATTCATATCGAACGCATTCACCGGAAACAGATATATATTTGTTATCCAGTCTTTTTGATGAAAAGGCGTTTCGCTACAGTTCTTTACTGACTGGAGATTCGTGACTAAAAATTCCTAAGGTAGCTTGAAAATGGCGACCTGGAAACAGTAAACTTTGTTATGAATTGTTTATAATTTGAAGAAACATTTGGAGAATCCCTAAGAACTTCTGAAAGATTATGCCATCTCAAAAGTCTCGCTCTAAAGAAGATACATGGACCACGAAGGAGCTTGACAGCGCTTTGAGCGATGATCGAGAAAGGCAGAGAAGAGAGCGCAGAGAGAAACGAGAACGAAAAGAAAAATCAAGCACAAGAGACGATAAGCGAAATACAAAAGAAAGGGTTATAAGAGATGATGTTGTAGATAAAAAAAGGTCCAGAGATTCGGATGAGAGACGCAGAGAAAGGCCAAGCAAAGATGACAGACAGAGAGATGCAGAGAGAGAGGAGAGAAGAAGGAAAAGAGATGGTGAACCTGAGAAAAAAAGTAGCAGTCGTCACCGAAGGGAAGATGATAGACACAAAAGAGATCGGGAAAAACAAGAACCACTTGAGAAAAAGTCAAGTAGGCATAGAAGTGATGATGTAGAGAGGAAAAGGAGTGACAGACATAAAAGTACTGATGTCCGAGATGATGACAGAAGACGCCGTGACAAACACAGAGAATCTGACGATAGAAAGAGAAGTGAAAGACATAAAGAAAGAGATGATGATGACAGACGAAGAAAACATAAAAGAGAAGAAGACTATGAGGACAGAGACAAGCGACATAGACGCAAGGAAGAAAATGGCGATGATGAACGTGAAAGACGACGCAAAGAAAAACATGAAGAGGAAGAACGAGAAAAGAGAAGGAGAGAAAGAAGGGAAATGAAAGAAAGCTCATCATCCCGTTCTAAAATTGTGGACAATGATTCTGAGAAAGAAAATAGCAAACAATCTGAAGATGAAGAGGAAAATGGAAATGATTATAATTATGATGATGATGATTTTGAAGATTATGATGATGATTTTGAAGAAGACGATGATGATGATGAAGAGAGACAAAAGAAACCTACTATAAAATCAGAGGACAGAGAAATGTCAGACCTTTTAAAAGCACTAGACGAAGAAAATGCCAGATTAGCTGCAGGTTCTGTTGACAGCAACAAATCTGATTATTCTGACCAATATCATGACAACCAAGAATCTAAACAATCTCAAAAGCCAGTCAGTCGTGGTAGAACTTTCATTAATTTTGTTAATGCAAAACAAAGAGCGGTTGATCAGAAGGTATCAGATAAAACAAGGAAGCGTGGCAAAGATTTACTCAAACTAATAGAATTTGACCATGCTAGTTTTGATATATTTGATTTGCCACCAGTGAAAGAATATGAACTTTACATTCGTAGTTTTGGTCGCACAGATACGAGACAGGCCTACATTCAGACAAATGAAGATAATCTAGACCGTGATATCCAAACAGAAGAAATTGAATTACTAGATAAATGGACACAATATCCAGCAGAAGATTTACTTGGCTGTGGAGGAGATAATGTGGAATCAGTAAAGCAAGAGATGAAGACGCCTGCTTCAGAATTAGAATCCACCAGAATGGTATCATTTTTGTCGAAAGCTGCCCAAGCTATTGGTATTTTACTGAATGAGGAGTCAACAACATCGAATGAAGATGGAGAAAAGGGAATCAAATCCAATTTGTCTGCAAGTGATGGATACCATCAACTTGGAATGCCATTGATTTTGAAGGATCGCTATGTAACTTATGCCAACTATAGCCCAAGTCAACCCAATTATTTGTTAACTTGCTATAGCATGCCCTCACTAAACTCTGAAAACACAAGTATGCAAAAAGGTATAATATGTGTTTGGAACATTATGGAACCGTCCAGCCCCCAGAAGTACTTAGCCTGTGAATCCCAACCAAATTGTTGCTGCTTCAGTCCTAACAGAACATCATTGGTTTGTGCTGGCATGACAGATGGATCATTGGTTATTTGGGATCTCAGAGAACAAGGTTATATGCATCGTATGATTAAATTAGATCAGGAGGAATATCTCTTCAGATTTCCGACTTATAATACAGCTGGGGTATCAGAGAGTGAGAATCATCACAGTCCTGTCCAGTCATTGGTTCCAGTTTTTCCTGACCCAACCAGCTCACAATATAAAGAAGAGACAGACAATTCTGGTTTGTCATTTCAACTGGCATCAGTCGAAAAGAATGGTTGTGTCAATCTGTGGGTGGTTACAGAAATTCCATCTCCAGATTCAGCAGGGTCAGAAGTAGATTTAGGCTTGTCTCCTGGAGGAAAGATAAAACTTGTGAAAAGCTCAACTATCAAATTAAACAGTCCCTTGAAATTGGACAAGGGAGACAGTTTACAAGCGTTTGAATTTAAACTTTCAACGTGTGACTTAAACCATTTCTATGTCGGAACGGACACTGGTTATGTAATTCATGGTGTCAGATTTGGCTCCAGTGCCTTCCCCCGTGGACATACATCTGTGATAGATACACCCCTGAAGGTTAATAGTATTGACTTTTCACCATTTGGTTACTCTTATTTATTGGCTGGATGTTCTGATGGATCCATCCACCTATATCATACCAAATTGGAAAATCCTCTAGTGTCTTGGAATGATCTATCAGATGGACAGCCTTGTTGTATTCAAAGTGTCAGATGGTCACGTAGTCGTGCTGCTGTTTTCTTTGTGCTTGATGACCATTCTAATTTATATACATTCGATTTACTGGAGGGTGATTCTCGACCAGTCCATGTGGACAAAATTACCACTGGAAAAGCTGTGTATATGACTCTAAACAATGACAGTAGAATTTTAGGTTCTGGACTTACTAAATGTCCTCAGTTGTTGCTAGCTTTGGATAATGGTTCAACAGAACTTCATAACATAAAGCAGAACCTGATAGAAGACAAAACATTAGAAGGAGAATTTTTGAAAAAATTTAATGAACGTTTTTAACTTAATTCCAGAAATTAGAATCCTTTATAATGTGCTATGTATAAGCTTATTTATTTATTTATTGAAGTCTTATTTTCCTAAGAGATTTAAATGTTAAAATCCGTCCTGTGATAAAGTATTGTATAGTTCTTGTATTTTTTATTCTAATATTATTCTGTGGTTTATGACATAGAAATAGGAGGGGTGGGGACTCTTTGTGATGGTCTTAGAACAGCAGAAAAACCATGTGTTTTTGGAGAATCTACATTATTAGGCCTATTGTATTAATAATTTGTAATGAACAAAAACAAGCTGTGAGCACTCACTGAAAGATGGTATGGTATCAGGTGTTTAAAAAGAATTAGCATTCTTAGCTGCGCCGTCAAACCATGCTGCAAAACCTGGCGCTCAAAATGGATTAACTATTAGAAAGAGATTCAGTCATTTTCTACCTGAATATGTTGCCAGATATAAAAAAAAAAGCAACATCTATAATAATAATCAATATTTTTATTTACCAGCCAAAGTACCCATATGCAGGAGCGGAGTGGCGAACTACAAAACCAAGTAGGGGCTTTGTGATACACCACTTTTCAAGCAAATTTTGAAAACAAAGAAATCAAGAAATCTCTAGGTGTGGGGGTCAAAGAATATTCAAGGGGGTGGGGTTTGGTTTGCTTTAATTCAACGACCAATTCAAGACCATACCCCATTGCACCGGATATATTAATTGTCTCTCCATGCATTTAAGAAAATAAATGGCTTTGACCTTCAAGAATATTGGATGACCTATCTAAGTTATTGCCCTTGACGTAGCCATAATACTCAAAGTTGGCATGGGTATAATTGTATGTAGGCCTATAGGACTACAATATGAGGCATATATTGATTAAATCTAAGTGCAATATAAACATGATACATTTTCCCCCCTAGGAAAATAGTTTGTATCCTCAATTGGAAGCCCTACTTTAGTCTCGGGAAGCTGTCGCCGCCACTGAAAATAGAGACTTTATACAGATGTATCTAGATCTCTGCATGGAATATCATTGATGAAATATCCATTGAACAGTCCTTGTTCGAGTAATATATATGATTTGTGCTAGGAGTTAAATAAAAATTGGGCTAAGAATTATTAAGGCTAATTATAAGTCATTTTAAATGGTCGAATGCCACCCAAAAGAATAATGACCCCGCAACGAGCACAAAATGAAAAGAAGAGGCCGGAATTACTTGGGGGAAAAATAGCTGATAAGACTATTTCAGCTTCAATTGAGAAGTTGTTGAAATATTGTGTATTTCCAAGTTACGGGCCTGATAATGACGCCACGAGTTTTTCGTGGGGCTTTCGTGTGGCGTTTTGGGCCACCGCATTTGTAAAGCATGATCAAATGTGAAGATATCGCAAAAACTGGCAATACGTACAATAAATTTATAAAGGATTGATTAGGCCTAGGCAAATTATCCAATTATGGAATATTATATGAATGATTTAATAGACATAATGCTATTGATGAGTGGTTAGACCTAATATTTTGTTATATTATGAATGAGTAGACCTGTGTATGCTTACTCTTTTCGTACTTCTTAGTAGAGTCCACTCTAGATAACTTTTTACTCTCGAATTCGGATAGGCCCTACTGATTAGCGGAATAGTCTTGCCTGCACTGAAAGGCTATAAATTACAAATAATTAAAGCATTCCGCTAGTGAACTCTATAAATGTTACATACAAAAACTAGAAGCTCAGTTCAGGAACATAGACTGTATATATAATTTATGACTTCACTTAATTACCCTATTTTCAATGATTTACTGTAAATTGCAGGCCCATATTCAATTATATAAATCCCTTTTTTGAAAGTAAGAGTATTTTAAGAACCACAATAAGGTTAATAAAGATAAAACTCCCAAAACGTATGGCGAGTATAGAATTTTCTAGATGTACGATTTGCAACGTTATAAATCGCAGTGATTACGTTTTCATCGGTAAGTCTTGATAATCTGGACTTGAGCACTGCAAATATTCGTAAATAAAATTTATTGTCAGGCTGGCATGGGTTAATTGATGTTTTCCTTAGAATAAAGAGATTATTTTCTGTACTTTTTTGCTGTCATTTTACTATTCACACATCTTAAATCTACAATTTCTATAACCTGAGATAATTATAATTTGACGCAGATTAGTCCATTGAGTAATTTCAGCTTCTGTTTGTCTGTTAATTAGTACGTCTGATGTCATAGCGACATAAGGAACTATTTTAGTCGCGTAGGATTCCTTTTTTTCTTTCTTATTTTTGTAATTTGAAAATCAAAAATTTACGACAAATTTCATCACAGAGTAACTGAATATAAGAAATGCATGTGAGTTCCTGATGCAAAATATAGCTTTTAGTTCATTTTATGGCACAACTTCATAACAGATCGAGTATAAACACTGGGACTATTTTATTGCTCGGATTAAGAAAGGTGTGAGAGACAAGCTCATAAATATTGTGACGCGTGCAACAGTCAGCAGATAGGCACGACCGCTTTGAGGGAAGGGAGATGTGGATTGTTGGCCGAATTCTGGCGATGTTGTTATTTTATTTAATCGGTTCGGGAAGGTTTTGGTTAAACCTGGTTCTCATTGGAAGTTGATAGAGAATTCGCAAGTATAAGTTGGCAAATATATAATTTATTTCATGTAGGCTTTTGATTCGTTTGACTTCCACTTTAATGTGGCTGAATTTGGAGTGGCGCAGTTCCCATTGATTCAATATGGCTGCCATAATTGCGTCGTTTTGTCGACATGATTTATCTGACAATTTTGGCTTGCTCTGTTGGATTTTGAAATTTAGCTTTTAGTCTTAGGCTTGTGGGCGGTAGGCCCAGCCTCTTGTTGAAGTATTTTGTACTTAACCCGATTACTTTCAGTTGAAGCCAGTACAATCTGTTTGCAAGCTAGCCGAGGAAAATGAAGAGGCGTTCTTTTTTGCCAATATTTCTAGATCTTGCTTCCATTAACCAGTTTGTGGCTGTTCAACAAAGGGTGAAATATGAAGTAAAAAGTTGATACAGATGTTAGTTCTTGAGTGCTTGTAAGATGTAGAGATTGTCATTTTCAAAAATGTAAAATGTGACTGATCGGCCTAGCCTAGAATGTTAATCAATAATGGTAGGAATAAAGTTTGTGGGTTAAAACATCAACTGTAAGTAGTTCTGAAGTTAATAACATTTACTGAAAGCTCTTATATCAAGATCATACCATTTTGAAAAAATTAAAACACAGGTTTTAAAAAATTTAAGGTAAATATATGCCTAGATAATGTAGATCTAATAAGAATATAATCTTAATGAGCGTTAATTTTGAATAAGAGATTCAGTTAGTGTAAAAGAATAAAATGCGTAGGTATTTTATTGCTCGGTCGTTGTGCGTGACATCAACCCGAAGTGTAGGGTGTATTCTCGGAATGATGTGTGGTTTTTGCCATGTTTGAGCATCAACCTTTCGAATGCTGGTGACGAAATTCTCGGGTATAGGTGGATTGCCATCTCATTACCCTGAGCAATAAAAGGTTTGCAATAACCGGTGTACTCAGTACAACCGTGAAAGTGGTTTTTTTTAAAGGTACAAGTTTGGTACGGTATTGAATTGCTGTTATGTGGATTTTTTTTATACCTTCTATTTGGGACACTGCCATGTTTGAGCAATGTCTGGGTTACGAAAAGGTTTGCCGCGCTGTCAGTTCACAGCTTTAAAATGTATGATTGTCATAGCAAAGGTAGTGTATTCATATAAAAAAAAGAGATGTGTACATATATATATTTATAAAAGAGTGGTTAGCATTGCTTAATTTTTTTAATCTGTTGACTTGAAAACTTTTTTCTCCACTGTATGGCATTTCAGTGTTTATTTAAATTTAATGGTAAATGGACTTGTGCTTATTTTAACATTTCTATGATCTTTCTAATGTTTGTCATGTGTATGTTATGTAGAAAAGATTACATCACTATTTTTATTTACTACTAGTAAACTTCACATTTTACTCTGCCTTGTAGGGGAAGTAGTAACAGGTAATATTCGACGGGTATCTGGCTGCCTGCCATTTTTTTTCATTAAATTTAATTAAGAATCCCGTCTGTAGCTTTGGGACTTTGCCATGTTTGAGCATCGTCTGACTGAAAATTACTGTTTGTCCTAGTAAATATTCATTATATATATGCACATTGTTATGTAAATATTGTAGAGGTGGGTGGTTTGTTTCACTAACCGTAAATTTCAGTAACTAGTGCCTCCTGTGTGTTACTACCAGATATAATAGTATCTTCCATGCAAGCACCCTCTGTTATCCTGAATCAAGACTCCTGTCATCCTCATGTATAAATTCTACACATTTAAAATGGTTCTGCCTTGGTTGATGGACAAGCACTGTTACTTATATACCATACTGGTAAAAAACAATCTTTTTGCTTTGCGTTTTATTTAATAATCCATTAAGTTTCTGTATACATGCTTTGTTAACCTTTTCTTTTATACTTTGATTCAGGAATGTTGAAAAGTGATTAGTCTTTCCCAATTTCTAATGTTGTTGATCTTATTTTGTTAAATCTGCAATGATTGGTTGTCCAGGATTTTTGGGCGTATCTTAGCAGTTGATTGACGTTTGTAAACTTCACATTTTGGAATATTCTCTGCATGTATACATGAACTCTTTTCACCTTTCAATTATTCATAATTCAGATATTTGGTTTAAAAGCTTTTAATGTTATTCTTATAGTTAGTCAATTGCATGTCCATAGTGAAAAGACTTTCGATTTAAAGTGAAATTGAGTCTAAGCAATAATCTTTACTTAATGTTTGTTAATGGTGGGTGGGGTGGACTAACTTTTATTTAGTAATTTCTTAGATAAGAGTATTGAAGATGGTTGATAGAGTAGGCTCCTTCAGAAGAGCTTGTAGAAAGGCTTCTATAACGATAACACAACACTGTATTACAGTTTTTTCACTCATTAACATAACAAGTATAATGGTATTGTGTTAGATTTTTATATTTTACTATGTAATTATGGTGTCTTAGTTGTAAAATGGTTGGATGACTTGTGTACCAAATAGATTATGAGTGCAATTAAATGTTTGAAATTTTATGTCATGATAGTAGAATAATACTGAAATTTT